CCACGTCCCCAGGTTCGGATCACCGCTGGTGCTGTGGGCGGAGCGCGGTGCCTCTTGGGCACAGCTGCAGCGCGACGTGCTGGCCCAGCTGCGCGGCATGATGAGGAGCGCCGTGCAGGTGGGTGTCCCCATGGGTTGTCCTTGCGGGGGGCCGTGGTGACCCCACCCGTGGCCATGGTGTCCCTGTGAGCCGCGTCCCTGTTGCCCTGGTTGGCCATAGTCACTGGATGTGGCTGCAGTGTCACCCATCCCTGCCACTTGGGTGCCATCGCCACCAAGGTATCCGCAGGGCTGACGGGAGCCCGCAGTGAATCACACACTGAAGCCCCATCCCTGTCCCTCTGGGTGTCCCCACCATGGGTACGAGAGCAGAACTGAGGTCACATGGGAATACTGAAGTGTGGGGTAGTGCTCCGGCCCTGCTGGCACTAGCATCCCAGGCTGAGGGCGCTCCCCCTGAGGGACCTGAGGGTCCTTATGTCGCCTCACCGTGTTGTCCTGCAGGGCACGGTGCCGCTGTTCCGCATCCACGTGGCCAGGGACCCCAGTGCCTACCTGTCCCCACAGGACCCACACCCGCTGTGCCACGCGGCCATTGACAGGTGAGGGGGGGTCACCCCACAGCCCTGCAGGGATGGGGAGGCCCCACTCCACACCTCCCTTTCCCTTTGGGGTGCTCAGGGCGCTGCAGCAGAGCCCCGCTGGTGGACCCCCCCACGTCGCGCTGACAGTGGACTGGGACATCGGCACCAAGGAGCGGTGAGTGCAGCACTGGGAGGGACCACAGCCCCGTGCTCCATCCCTGACCCCTCCCTCACCTCCCACCCTGCAGGCTTTTCGGCAGCGTGCAGCAGGAGGTGGTGCAGGACGCAGACAGCGTGCGGCTGCAGCAGGCGGCACACCAGCAGCACAGCTGCACTTTGGATGAGTGCTTCCAGCTCTACACCAAGGAGGAGCAGGTGGGTGCACCCAAAAAGCCTCACACCCTGCGGTGCTGGGCAGGGGGAGGAGGGGGAGGGACAAGACACTCCTTTTGGGATGCTCACAGTATGTGCCTCCAGCTGGCACCGGATGACGCATGGCGCTGCCCGCACTGCCGGGTCCTGCAGCAGGGCACAGTGCAGCTCCGCCTCTGGACGCTGCCCGACATCCTCATCATCCACCTGAAGCGCTTCCGCCAGGTTGCCCAGCGTCGCCACAAGCTGAGCACGCTGGTGCGCTTCCCCTTGCGTGGGTTGGACATGGCCCCACACCTGGCCCCGGGGGGGGGAAGATGGCAGAACTCCCTGCGCCCGACTCGGAGCTGCCCCCCGGATGCTCTGTATGACCTTTACGCCGTCTGCAATCACCATGGCAGCATGCAGGGCGGGCACTACACCGGTGAGCGAGGGGTGCTGTGGGGCGGGGGGCATGGCACAGCCATGGGGGGTGGGGCTAGGGGTGCCGTATGGGGGTGTGCAGTGAGATAAGGTGTGGGAGAGGGGGTCGCTGAAAGGAGAGTGCCATGGGCATGGCTTGGGGCCAGGGTTGTGCTGCGTGACAGCAGTCAATGGGGGAGGGATGTGGAGCTGGGGTGCGTGGTGAAGACATGGGGTGTGGGGTCACAGGGTGCTGCAGGGGAATAGTGGGATAAAAATGTGTTGCGTGAGGGGTGCAGTGGGGAAGAGCATGGGGCCGGGGGCATTGCAAGGGGTGTGCAGTGCGTCAGAGCAGCGTGATGGGCTCCATCTCTGCTGTGGGGAGGGGAGACCCGAGGGGCCCTGCTCCCTGCTCCCCCTCCCTCACCCCTGCCCCAGCGTACTGCTGCAACTCCCTGGACGGGCGCTGGTACAGCTACGATGACAGCACGGTGGAGGGGGTGCGGGAGGACGAGGTGAGCACCCGCAGCGCCTACATCCTCTTCTACCAGCGCCGCAATGCCATCCCTGCCTGGTCGGCCAGCAGTGCTGCCAGAGGTGAGCAGTGTCACCCCCTCCATCACCACCTTGGCAGCACCTGCAGAGCAGGCACACTGTGCGTGCAGAGCACAGCCAAATGCAAGTGCACACACAGCACGATGTGCCTGCACGCAGCACTGCTGGATGCACACTCGTGCACTCAAGATGTGTGTGTGCTCTCACAGCACAGTTGCATGCAGGTACATGCGTGCACCTGGACACCTGTGCGTTGCCATCCATGGGCAGTGCAGCAGGCAGGCACATATTTGCATATAGCAGGGCTCCAAGCACACACATGCTGGTGTGCATCAGCATGCACAGCATTGTGCAGATAACGCACACATCCGCATGCGTCTGTGCACACCCCTTTCATGCCTGCATATGCACACTGCTCACTGCAGCTCCTGCATTGCTGCACCCCCCAGCAGCCCCCAGCCCCACTCCCTGGCACTGTGCCCCCCCGTGCAGCTCCCATTCCCCACAGGCAGCAGCAGCTCGGCCCCATTGAACCACTGGGCAGCCCGGCTAGGGGGCACCAAGCAGCAAAGCGCAGGATCCCAGCCTGCAGCTCCCCGCCCATCCCCACCCTGCAGCCCGGACCTTAGCACCACACAGGAGCAAGGTGAGCCCCCCCCCTCGACCCTGAACCCCGCAGCGGCCCCGGTGCAACCACCCCCCACCTCCCTCATGCTCTCTCCTTGCAGGTGGCTTCGAAGCCCGGCCGCCGGTGCGGGTGGTGCAGAGCCGCAGCCTCAGTGTCAAGCTGCCACCCCCCGCCCGCTGCAGGGCCCCCCCCAGGGCTGCGCCCCTGCGGTGGTCCTTCACCTCGCGCCCGCGGGCGGCCCCTGGGCAGCTGCTGCCATACATCCCCATGGGGCCGGTAGGCGGGGGCAGCCCCCGTGTGGAGCAGAAGGCCGTGCTGGGCGATGCTGCAGGCAGCACACAGAGCACAGAGCCCCCCCGCTGCACCCCAACACCACGCCGGGCCCACAGCGCCGGCCCCACTGGGATCTCGTGCCCCAAAAGCCCCCCGTGGAGTGGCGAGCAGGAGACAGGCCGCCCCCGGGTGCGGCAGCAGGGCACCCCTCGGGCACAGCACGACCCCCACAGCCCTGACGGGCCCATCCGGCGCTCACAGAGCTCAGCCTGCCTCCCCCCACGGCCCCCTCACCCCATGCGGCGCTCAGCATCGCTGGGCCGGGGCGCGGGGGGCACTGCAGGGATACGGGGCAGGGAGCGCACGGCAACCCTGCGGCACGGGGCTGTGCCTGAGTCCAGCTTCTGAGGAAGGGAGGGGATGGTTGTGGGGCTGAGCTGGCAGTGGGTGGCACCCAAAGCATTGTGCTGTGGAGTTGGGGCATCTCTACGCTGTGGGCATCCCACAACTGGGTACCCAGAGCCTGGAGCAATGCACAGCTGCATGTATGTCTCTAGGAGCATCCAGCACCAAGAGCGTTGTGCAGGGGGGTATCTACAAACAAAGCATCCCTGTGCCGGGAGCATCCTGCACCTGGGTACCCAGCACTGGGAGTATCGTGCCATGGGCCGTATGCAGTCAGGGCATTCCTGCATCATCAGCATCCTGGGACTGGGTGCACAGTGCTGGGAGCATCCAGCGATGGGAGCGTTGAGCTCTGGGCTATCTGGAAGCAGGGCATCCCTGCGCCAGCAGCATCCTGCATCAGGGTATCCATCACCACCTGTGCTGGGATCATCATGCAATGGAGTGCTCAAAATCAGGGCGTGCCTGCACTGTGAGCATCCTGCAGCTGGGTACCAGCCCTGGGCGCATCCCACTCAGGGATCCCTTCGCACCCGGCTGTGCTGTGCTGAGTGTCTGCACCCTTGGCCCTGTGCCTTTCAGCCCACGCCTTACTGGGAGCAAGCAGGGGGTCTGCAGGGCCGAGGGGCTGTTGGGAGAGAGAGTATTTATTCTATACAGAGAGTTCTATGCAGAGATGCTGTTTGTTTTCTACAAGCTACTGGTGCTGAAGGTTGGGCTGCGGGGCTGCTTGCACACTCAGGGCTATGCAGTGCGTGGTTCTCCCGCAGCCATTTCTATTAAAGACATGAAAGGAGCGCGCTGTGTGCCGCGTCCACCTGGGGGACGGCGCTGGGGGTTTCTTGGTGCTTTCTAGTGACTTTTCTGGGACCTTCCAGTGTGGCTGCTTTGAGGTTTGGGGGCGGCTGTGAGCCGAGCAGCCCCTGTGCTGCTTCAGTTTCCCTCTGTGGGTGATGCATTTGAAGCTGGAGGGGCACATTCTGTCCCCAAACCCGCACAGCCCCCCTCGTGGAGCGGCCCCTTCCCAAGCGCGTGCGGAGCCGCGGGAGGCGTTGAATGAAGGCAGGCTGGGGGCTGAGTTCCACAGCGATGTGCACGTTTATTCCAGCTGCTCCTGCCCCCCCCTCCCCCCGTCCCCGTGCTGTGGGTGACGGTCAGATCGCGGCGGTGCAGAAGCAGTGGGGCCGGGGGGTCGGGGCAGTGCAGCACAGGGGGGCGGAGCGGGGCCACGAAGCGTTCCCATGGACATAGTCCGTTTGTACACCAAGATCGGATGGAATGGCTCAAAATAAAACAAATATATATATATATTTCTATATATACAAATATATAATATATATATATCTATGCCCACCAGATATATATATATATGTCATCTCTCTGAAAAGGATAAAAGGTGACTTTGTCTTTGCATGCACAACCAAAGCCTCTGCTCCACGCCACCAACCCACGACGACAGCAAACAGGGGACGAGGCCGTGCCCCACACCCGCCTTATTGCTATGGGGCCATCCTCATATCCCAGCCACGGGGGTACGGAGCGGGGAGACGAGACCCCAGGCTGCTGCCCCACGTCAGAAGGGAATGGGGCTCCGGTGCCTCTCCAGCCCCGCTGCCACCACGAGGACGTGCCGGGGGGGGACATAGGCACCGAGTCACAAGGCAAAGTCTGGATAAGGCGAACCGAATCCCACTACAGGGCGGCAGCACCCGGTGCGGGGCTGGGGGCCGCAAGGATGGGCGGAGGGGACGCCGTCATAGGGCCGTGCTCTCCGAGTCCTCCTCCTCCTCTGCAGGGCCCTTCAGCTGCACTCTCTGCGCGGCGTCCAGCGGGTCCCGGCGCAGCGTGGCCTCCGCGCCCCCCAGGTGAATGGACGGCAGCTCGAAGTGCAGCAGACCTGTGGCAGGCACAGACAGCGGCGTGAGGGGCTGCCGAACGCGGCGAGGGGGGCAGGTGTCGTTGTGTGCCGTGATGGGTGCTGCGTGCTCAGCACTGCGGCCGGAGGGGAAGCGTGGGGCTTTTGTCCCCACCTGTGTGTCCCCACACCTGGCAGCATGTTGCTGGCCTTTGCTGAGCCTGGAGAGAGCCACCCCAAGGACAACTGCTGCTCCTGCCTGGCTCCACCAGTAGCTGCTGGCTTCAAGGCAATGCCTGCACGCAGTGCTGGGATGCAATGTCTGAGTGTGCCAATAGGGAATGCAGTGCCGGGGAAGCACTGGGTGCAATGCTGGAGTGTAATGCTGGGGTTACACCAGTGCCTGGCTGCACCAATGCAAGATGGTTGCACCAATGCAAGAAATGCTGGGGTGCAATGCTGGGGTTACACCAGCGCCTGGCTGCACCAATGCAAGAATAAAATGCTGGGGTGCAATGCCAGGGTTGCATCAGTGCTTGGATGCAATGCTTGTGTGCAGTGCCTGGCTGCACCAGTGCGGCATTGCACCAGTGCCTGGGTGCAACACTGGAGTGTAATGCTGGGGTTACATCCCAGGGGTCTCTGCCTGGATGCAGTGCAGTGCCTGGGTGCACTGACGTGTGGATGGAAAGCCAGGGTGCAATGCTGAGATGGCACCCATGCTAGGATGTACTGCCATGGGGTGAACTGCTAGAGCACCATGCCAGAATGCACCCTTGCCTGTGTGCAGTGCTGAGATGCAGTGCTGGGGCAGCACTTGTGAGTGAGTGTGCTGATGGTTGGACACAATGTCTGGGTGCACCCACAGCTGGGCACAATGAGGACAACACCAGGGACACACCAGTGCTGGGCTGTGATGTCCACCAAAGCCCAACCCGTCTCCACACAGCTCCCCTGTTCAGCCTGCCCTCACAGGCAGGGCTGCACGCAGAGGGCACCACCGCCAGCCCAGCTGCCAGCTGTGTGACCAGGACAGTGTCCCCACAGCATCCCCACTGCCAAAGCGTCCCCATGGGCAAGGCATCACTGTGTGATGCTGAAGTTGCACATGGGGGCTGGCTCTTGGGGACAGCACTGCTTAGGAGATGGGGACGCTCATGCTGACCCCCGTGCTGCCCCCCACACTTGGCTCTGCAGCACAGACAGCACAGGGGGGACAAAACCCAGCGCCACCAGGTTGGCACACAGTGGGTGTGGCATCAGAGCTGTCCTGGGGACCTTGCCAACCTCCTGGACACTGCCACCTTCCTGGGGACACTGTCACCTTTGTGGAGGCATTGCCACCTGCCTATGGGACATTGGCATCTTTCTGGGAACACTGCCATGTTCCCAGGGACACGGCCACCTTTTGTGAGGACACTGCCTTCTTGTCTGGGAACACTGCCACCTTCCCAGTGATGTCACAACCTTCCTGAGGACAAATGCCACCTTCCCAAAGATGCTGTTACCTTTCCAGAGACATTACCACCTTCCTGAGGACAATGCCTGGACCTTCCAGGGCACACTTTCCTGGGCACACTGCCACCTTCCTTGGGGCAGTGCCACCTTCCTGAGCACACTGTAACCTTCCCAGGGATCTTGTCACCTTCCCAAGGACACTGTCATCTTACCAGGAACCCTGCTGTCCTCCTAAGGACACTGCCATCTTATTGGGCACACTGCCATCTTTCCAGGGGACCATGCTACCTTCTTGAGGACCAACCTTGTCATTGTCCCTTGTGCATTGCCACCTTCCCCAGGACACTGCCACCCCTCTGAGCACACTGCCACCTTCACAGGGACCTTATGACCTTCCCAGAAACTTCACCACCTTCCCAAGGTCACAGTCACCATCCTGGACACACTGTCATCTTCCTCTGCCACTTTTCCAAGCTCACTGCTGCCTCACTGAGCACACTGTTGGGCACAGTGTCACCTTCCCAGGGACCCTACCACCTTCCCAATGTCACTGTCACCTTCCCAAGGATGCTGCCATCTTCCCAAAGTTGCTGTCACCTTCCTGAGTATATTGCCATCTTCCTGGGCATACTGTCACCTTCCTAGGGGCCTTGCCAACTTCCAAAGACATCGACACTGTGCAAGGATGCTGCCATCTTCCCAAGGTCACCGTCACTTTCTTGTGCACATTGTGACCTTCCCAAGGTCACTGTTACCTTCCTGGGCACGTTGTTTCCTTCCCAAGGACCTTGTGACCTTCCCAAGGTGGCTGTCACCTTTCTACGCACACTGTCACCTTCCCAGGGACCCTGACACCTTCCCAAGGATGCCACCACCTTTCTGAGTACATTTCCAAATTCCCAGGAACCTTGTGACCATGCCAGGGACTTTGCCACCTTCCCAAGATCACTGCCCCACTCTTGATGACTGTCCCTTTCCCAAGGTGACCATCACCTTCCTCGACACACTGCCACCTTCCCAAGGACTCTGCCACCTTTCCAAGGTGACCATCACCTTCCTGGGCACATCATCACTTTCCCACGGATGCTGCCATCTTCCCAGCCACGCTGTCACCAAACCCCAGGGCGCAAACAGCCATCCTGCAGACTGGGCAGTGCCGCAGGGTCCCCACGGTGTCCCTGGCCAGCGGCGGTGCCCAAGAGCGCTCTGAGCTCCCGGCACAGCCTGGCTGCGTCCCGCGGCGGCTGGGTTACCTGTGGGCACGCTCTCCCCGGGGGCCACGGCGTCGAGCAGGGGGGGCTCCGTGGGCTGGGGGCTAGAGCCGGACGCGCTGGCCGTGGGGGGCTGCGGCGGCGGCAGCGAGGGCCTCTGCCTCGGCTTGGGGACGGGTCGAGATTTGGTTACAGAGCTGCCCAGGGGAGGAAGAGGAGGAGGAGGAGGAGACGGGGAAGGTGCGGCGGCTGGGGACAGCTGACCTGAGGCCAGGCAGTAGCCTTGAGGGTAAGCGAGTCCATAGGGCGCGGGGGTGCCTGGCGGGGTTGGGGACAAGCTGCCGGGGGACGGCTGGCCCGCCGGCGGCTCCGATGTGCCCCCTGAGGAGGGCGCCTTGGGTGGGATGGGCGCCAGCTTCTTGGAGGCTGCGGGAGAGACAGACAGACAGGAGGATGGAGAGACGGATGGACAGCGGTCAGGGGACTGGGGGGTGGCACACAGATGGGTACCCACCTTTGCGTGGGGCGCGCGGGCTCTGCTCGGCGGGGGATGGTGGTGTGGCCAGGGGCTGCTGCCCACCGCCCTTCTGTGCTGTGGAGATGGGGGATGGCTCCTTGGGCTTTAGTGTGCTGTGGGGACAAGGGATGGCAGTGAGAAGCTTTGCTCCCAAAGCCCTGCACCCAAAGCCCAGCACTGGCAGCATCCTTGTGCAAAGCACGCAGCCGGCGTGCCATGGGGCCACGATGCTCAAGGGCACCCACTGAGCTGCTGTGCTTTAATTGCAATTTAAAGCAATTTCTTAGCACAAAGGCCATGCTGCAGCCAAGCCAACTCATGTCCAGCAGCCATCTCCCTGGAGACAGCAGGGGTAAGGGACAGCCATGGTGGCAGGGGTAGTTACCTGGCCAGGTCGGCTCCCGCAGGCATGCGGCCGCCCCCGGGGGGAGAGGGCAGCATGTGGGGCCGGGGGCTGGGGAGGAGCAGTGGGGCAGAGATGGGGAGCGGGCAATGCCATGGGGCAAGAGAGCGTGGTGTGGGGACCAGCAGGGAGCAAGGCTTGGGGCGAGGGTGGGGGGTGAGTGGACGGGGGGAGCAGGAGGAAGAAGAGGAGGAGCGGGAGGGAGGAAGGCTCTGGCTGCAACCTGGCCAGAGGCGCAGTGCAGGTTGTGTCCAGGGCAGGGGACAGGGATGGGGACCAGGGGCCGGGGGCCCCCGCTTGTCCTCAGGGCAGGGGAGGCTGTAGCAGCAATCCGGCCAGGCGGGCGGCACACCACGCGTGCTGCAAAATGTCCAAAAAGATCACAGAACAGCAAAACGATAGAACAACAAAATAAAAAGAGACTTGAGCAGAAGCATCAGCAGGAGGGGGAATTGAGAGCAGCAGCAAGGCAGCAACACTAGGGGAGCAGGAACGGCCCCAGCAGGGCTCATGGGGCTGCTCAGAGGGGAGGCCAACATCAAAACAGGGGGAGCCTGGGGGACAGCCCCTTCCCCACAGCTGCAGAGCCCTTTGGAGTGGGAGCTCCATCGCTGGGATGGAGCCCTTGGCATGTCCCCCTGGTCTGCAGGTGCCACCAGCAGCCCAGCACAGGGATGGAGGAGGGATGGGGTGAAGGCAGCAGCACCAGGATGGGTCAGCATGTTACAAGGGATGAGAGCAACGCAGAAGCAGATTGGCACAAAGGGCACCGAAGCGAGGCAGCAGCGGCACAGCGGAGGCAACCTGATGGGCATCCCCACTACAGGGAGAGGCTGTGGGGTACCCAGGGTGGGTCTGCTCCAAGCATTGCCCTGTACCAGAACACAGCTCTTGGGTCCCTAACAAAACCCATGGGTGCTTGGCCTGCACTCTGCCATGCCACACAGCAGTCCTGCAGGGTGGCAGGAGAGGAAGGCTCCCCATTTTGGAGCAGGATGGCACAAGATAGGTGCTTTCTTCCATTTTGACCTACGTGAACCACAGGAGGACGTGGATTCTGGGTAAAGAAAGAGCTCAGGGAACACTAGGCTCCTTTAGGATTTTGCTCTGATCACTGCAAGCCCAGCAGCTTACAGCTCAACACTGTGAGTGCAAGAGCCCCGTGGGGAAACCCAGCTCAGCTTGGTCCCAAGGGGGACACCAGAGGGACACCACGGGGACAAGCGTGCCGCAGACACATAGGGACACAGGTCCATACCTTGCCCGCTCGGCTGCGGGAGGGAAGCCAAAGCTGGAGGCAGGAGATGAGGGGCTGGCTGACACATCAGGAGCCTGCTCAGGGATGGGTGAGTGCGGCGTGGCAGGCAGCTCGGCGGGCGGTGCGGGTGGCTGCGTGGCCGGGGGGGTGGCAGGTGTCTTGCGTGCTCCTGAGGTGCCTCTACGTGCCACCCACGAGGTGTCCATCACCCTGACACCCATGCTGGGGACAGAGATGGAGCCTCAGCATCCGCACGGCAAGACAGGACCGCGCTAAGGCACCGCCGGTGTCCCAGCCCAATGCAGCTCCCATTGAGCCCCTGCAAATGTTTCTTCCACTGAGAAGCTGCTGGGAATAAATCCCCACGGCAACAGGGTGGGATGGCTTTGCAGGACAGGCTGGTGACACCAGCCATATCACCCTTTGCCTTGGTACCGGGGCACCAGCATCCTCCCAGCACCCGCCCGGAACTGTCGTAGAGAACACCGTACCTTTGGATTTTCCTAAGGCTGCATGGACAGAAACAGATGGTTGTTAGTGGTAAATAACCTAAAACCAGACATGGGGAGCTTGGAAAAGGAGCTAAGAAGACATGGGGCTCGGAGTGTGGGCACTGGCAGGACGTGGTAGGAGGAACATATGATGAAGATGGGGAAGCCTCGGTGCAGGTTTCAGAACTGGGTCCATAGCACAAGAAGGGCACAGGAGGTGACACAGGGGCCAGCCTGCTCCCACCCCCAGCAGGTTTGGGGCTGCGAAAAGCCCAGGTCTCATCCAAGCATCCTTAGATCTTATCCAAGTGCTCCCATATCTCAGCATCCCTGGGGGAAGAGTGCATCCCCAGCACGGGCTGCAGGGTCCTCCCATTGGAACCACCCATCTTGCAAGCGAATCCAACCCTGGGGAGCAATGCCAGCTCCCCATCCCCAGCCCCAAACAGGCCCTACCCATCCTTCTTGTAAAACTCCAGCATCATGTTATCCGTGGCCACGCTGAGCGGCCGCCGCGCCTGGTCGTGCTGCTTGCGGTCAGCATGGTCCATGTCCGGGGAGGGCATGGAGCTGTAGTTGGCATTGTGGTTCACGTGCATGGGGCTGCCATAATTGCCGGTGACATTGAATTCAATGTCTGCGTGGAAAATGAGAGATGGACATCAGCCCGCTTGTCCCCAGCAGTGGTGCTGGGTGCAGCAATGATGCAGGGTGGAGGTGCTCCTGGCACTATGTAAACCACAAGGTTGCCCACAACGGAGCCATGGAGTAGCTGGGTGCATCCCACTGCTCACATAAATCACGTTGGTCCTCTCACCCACCCTAGACACATGAAGCTCATCCAATGCTATCTCACCCCATTCCATCCCACTGCATCCCATTCACCTCATTCCATCTCACTGTATCCTATCCACCCTATTCCATTCCATTCCATTCCATTCCATTCCATTCCATTCCATTCCATTCCATTCCATTCCATTCCATCCCATTCCATTCCATTCCATCCCATCCCATCCCACCTCATCCCATCCATCCCATCCCATTCCATTCCATTCCATTCCATTCCATTCCATTCCATTCCATTCCATTCCATTCCATTCCATTCCATTCCATTCCATCCCATCCCATCCCATTCCATTCCATTCCATTCCATTCCATTCCATTCCATTCCATTCCATTCCATTCCATCCCATCCCATCCCATTCCATTCCATTCCATTCCATCCCATCCCACCTCATCCCATCCATTCCATCTCACCTCATCCCATCCATCCCATCCCATCCCATCCCACCTCATCCCATCCCATCCATCCCATCCCACGTCATCCCATCCCATCTCATTCCATCCCATCCCATCCCATCCCATCCCATCTCATTCCATCCCATCCCATCCCATCCCATCCATCCCATTCCATCTCACTCCATCCCATTTCACTGCATCCCATCCCATCCCTTCCCATCCCATCTCATTCCATCTCACTGCATCCCATCATATCCCATTCCATCCCACCCCATCCCAAAGCAGCATGGGGCCCAGCCCACCTCCAGGAAAGAACCAGTCGGCGTGCTGGATGAGCGGCTCAATGATGCCCACAATCTGCAGGGAGACGGTCGTCATCATCTCCGTAATATTCCTGCAACACAGCAGGCAGCAGCTCGATGGCTTGCCATCTCACCATGCCCCAACTCCGCTCCCTGCTGAGATCTGCAGCCCCCCATCCCTTGGCTCTACCACCTTCTGCTCTGCAGCACCTCCTGGAGTGCAGGAGCTGCTCCCACATTGTAGGAACAAACCTTCTGGCCCCACACCCATGGCCCAGAGCTACGGCTTTACCCCCATCACCCCTTTGCACCCTTGTATCACGCAAGCCCATGGCCATACGCTACCCTTCTGCCTGTGGCCACAGAAGGTTGGGACCCAGCACGATGGCCACGTTGCTCGGCGTCATTTTGTTCATGTCCTGATACTCAGTCAACTTGGCCAGGAATTTGATCAGGTACCTGGAGGGATGAGCGCAGGCACGGTGAGGTGGGACGTGCCCTCTGCAGCCCCAGCACAGCCCCTCACCACCCCACGCTCACCTGATGTTGTTGTAGTTGGCCTTGGGCAGCTTCTCGCAAGCATTCCATAAGGCCTGCAGCCTCTTCTCCTGCTCTGGGATGCTATGGGAGGGGAAGAGCTGTGTGTCCCCAAGTCCGTGAAACACCAACCCACTATGTTTCATGTCAGGGCACTCATTCCCTTACCCAGCCACTGTATAGATGAGCATCTACATATACATCTACACCAAGGCCATCCTTGCTGCTTAGGCATGGCATGCCCAAGGAACATCACTAAGAGCCCCTGGACACTAACATTGGCCACTGGGTCAGAAATAAGTCAAGGAAAGTGCCCAGATGGATGCACAGGAGTGCCAGCAGACTCTGCACATGGGCTAAAAGCCCTTGTGCTCAGCACCCTCACCCCAGGGGGAACTGCCATGGGTCAAAAATCTGCTTGTTAGGACCCTCCTGAAATTCAGTCCCAAGACCACTTCCCCTTCTGGACTCACTTGGAGGCCTGGATCCACTCCTCGTACAGCTCAAATGTCATCAGTGGCTCTGGCAGCTCGCGCAGGTACGACTTGAGTGCTCCTGCAGCACATTAGGTTTCATGGAGGCTCCTTGAAATCCAGCACCCTCTGAATTTTCACCCCACCTCTCCCCGCGTAGCTTCCCCCTCTCACTTGTACCTCCCCCAGCCTGTCTCCTTTTTGCCAGGCACATGCCCAGCACTGCCTTGTGCTGTGGGCACCCCATGCCCTCCAGCTCAGCACAGCCCCATGAAGGCCCTCGGTGCCTTCCCTGATAGGAACCAGAGCCCACATTTTGCAGCGCAGCAGGGAAGGGAAAAGCTCATTTGCATTTAAACCAAACTACGGGGTAACATAGCGCAGCAGGATGGGCTCTGCATGGAGGGAGCATCCCGCACCACCACAGAAGCAGCAGAGATAAGACTGTAAACTCCATGCATGTCCATCCTGCAAAGCGTCTCCTGCTCGGCACAGCCACATGGGGAGGGAAACTGGGGTCACTTGAGGCACATGCACCCAGTGAGATTTGGGCTTGAAAGCAGCCCCTGGGTGCAGAGCAGCACCCTTTGGGGACTGAGGCACCCCCCAGCCAACAGCCCCCACAGTCCCCACCTGCAATGGCATGCGGGTCAGCTGAGTACTCCTGCACGTCCACCACGCAGCAGTCCAGGGCAGCCTTCAGCTTCTTCAGCTTGGAGGCAGAGGGAGCCACACGGAACAGGCCCTTGGCACAGCACACGGGACAGCGTCGGCGCCGGGGGAAAACCCCCAGATCTCCCCTGGCCACTCCTCCCCCTGCACGGGATGCAGCCAGGCCGTCCCCACGGCACCCACCTCCTCCTGCATGCCGCACTCCAGCAGCATGGTGACACAGGCCTCCACTGGGAAGGCGATCTCACGCCCGCTGACAGCCAGGTGCTCCTCCAGTGGCTTCCCAAAGGATGGCTTCTCCATCCACGCTTCTGTGAGGGCACAGGGCTGACAGGTCGCACCCTGCGTCCTCCTCACCCTCGCCCTGGGCTTCAGCTCAGGTGTTCAGCAAGTACTGAAGTGTTGTTGCAACACCACAACCCTGAGTTTTCAGCCCAGCCAATTCAAAAGTGTCTTGTAAAGGTGAAATCCATGCAAAATGCAATCACATTTCCTGATCCTAATGCATAGGATCAAGAGGGAAGAACACAAAGGTCACTCCCCACCCAGACCTGGGTGGCTGCAGGGGCGACAGTGAGGTGACCCCATGGGATGGGGACATTCCCCCAGCTCAGGGACAAGGGGGATCACGGCTGCATCATGCCACACTGCGGGCTGATGCCTCAGCCTCCTTGCAAAGCCACCCTGCAAGGCGAGGTGATGGGCTCTGCACCCCCAGCTCACCACTTGCCTTGAGCCCTGCATGCACTCACCCTGCTGGGCCTTGATCTGAGGCAGCACGCTCTGCAAAAGTGCCAGTGACTTCCTGTGGTACTCAGCTTGCACCTCGATCAGCTGCGGAGAGATGGCACAGACTGCACCCAATGTCACCACCACGGCAAGGGCACGGGGTAGGGCAGCTGCAGAGCACAGCGGGATGGGGGGACCAGCGCAGTGCTCACCGTTTGGAAGTAGTTTGCATAGTCTATTTCTTTGGCCACGAAACTGTACATGTCAGCCGAGAGCTGGTCCTGTGGGAGCACGGAGGCAGGAGCTCACACCAAGCACCATGATGGCCATCGCTGCCCGTGGGTGACAACGTGAGCACTGACCCCAGCCTCCCTCCCTGCATCCGCAGCGCAGAGGTGTGCCCAGATGCCACACAACCAGCAGCATCACTTTACTTTGCCTTGTGTTGCATTTCATCCTCCAATACTTTGGTGTTTGCAAAGACCCCTGCCCTTGTGCCTTCTCAATACACTGTGCAGCTCCTTCATTGAACCACAGAACATCCTGAGTTGGAAGGGACCCACAAGGATCAAGCCCAGCTCCTGGCTCCACGCAGGAACACAATCAGCATGGGGATGGAGCAGATTTCTGAGGCCACTACAGTACTGGCCGTGTTCCTGTTAGGGGCAATCTGTCCCCACAGAGCTCAGTGTAAGCAATGAGGAGCTCCCTGACCCCTGGGGATGCTCTCAGGCTCCTGAGGTCCATGGATGCAGGTGACAGAGGAACCACAGCTGGCAAGCATCACCCAGATCTGGGATGGCACCTACTTTTGAGGGTGGCACATGCTGTGCACAAACACCCTACAGTGTTCAGTGAGCGCAGGAAGAGGGTCAGGGCTGTGACAGGGCTGCTCTGGACAGGGGACCAGCAAGGAGAGGGGTTTCTGGTGGTTAATGGGTTCAGCAGAGGCAGTGGGGTGATTCACTGCAGGCTTCCCACTGGGCTGCAAGGGAATGCTGCAGCCCTGGCTGCGTGTGGAGCAGGTTTCCCCAAAGCACAGTGCCCCAACACTGCACCCTTCCCCCCCACGCTTCTGTCACAACCCGGGCTGACCCCATCCCAAGCCCTGGCCAGCAGTACCCTGCAAATCTCCACTCTGTTCGCTGCCTCCTCCATCTCCTCCCTGAGAGCATCGGCTTTGGCACCCGACGGCTGCAGGTTGCTCGACAGCCCCGAGGACTTTGCAGACTGCTGCCACCTGTAGACACAGGGCCGTGTCAGTGGGACACAGGGGACACACAGAGCTTGAGGGCAGCCTCGGGATCCTCTGCCAGACCACAGTGGTCCCCAGGGCTGAGCACCATGGTGAGGGTCTCAGCCTGTGCTGAATGCATGCGCTAATCCCAGACACAAATATCTCCAGCTTCAATTCAGCAATCATTTCCAGAAGGAGCCTCAGGCAGGTGGGATGAGAAAGGGAAGTAATGGGGCAGCAAAGGGGCATTGATGCCCCTGCCCTGCAGACACCCCTGCACTTGTCTCCTTGTGCAGGAATGGGCAAACTCAGCAGTTTTCCAGGTGTTTGCAAACTGCCTCAGGAACAGCCCCATCTGCAGCCCCCAGGCCCCACCACAGCATCACCCAGAACATGGGGTGACACTAGAGGACATCCCACAGCCCCAGCAGAGCTCTGCCACTCCAGCACTGCTCTACAGCAGTAGATGCAACCAACTCTGTGCTTCCATGCAACAATTCAGCCAGACAGAGAGAAGAGTTAAAAATAAAGACTTGGGCCAGAAAAACATCTCCTCTGCAGCGTGCATGGAAGGAGAAGAGCAGAAATATTGGCTCATTGCAGAGCTTGACTTCAAGGCACACAGAAGCACAGCTGTGATCTCCCAAGGCTGCTGGCCCTTGGCCAGGGCAGCACTGGAGAAGCCCCACACAAGGAGTGATGCTGGCCCTGCAGCCAGCTCAGCCACGGTTCCCACCTCGTCCTCGAGGAGTCCATGTCCAGCACCAGCTTCGCTAAGTGCTTCCTCTGCTTCTGGATATTTGGGATTTCCACCTGCAGCAACACACGGGTGGAGGAGGAGAAAAAAAAACTGGGAATCACTGCAGCATTAGAAAGGCAGTGCAACCAACCCCTCCTCTGTGGTGTACAAAGCCCCTCGATCCTAAGACACGTGCAAAAACCCCATCCCTAAAAGAAGCATCCTTTGGTCAGTGGGGCCTCCTGTGCCAGGAAGGCCGGCTGAAGGCAGAAAAAGGCTGCCAGCATGTGCCAGCACAGCAGCAAGTCTTGTCATGCACCAACAGTGAGTGCCAAGGGCTTTGCAACGCCCGAAAGCCCCAGAGCTCAGCCTGGCCCTGCTCGCCTCTCCCGGTGTCAGCTCCATAAAGTTGAGGGAAGATGAAATCAGAATGGAGCCCATGGCATTTCACAAGACATAAAAGAGGGGGGGAAAAGAGCATTTGGCAAAATTAAAAAGAAAAAAAACCCAGAGAGTTGGCATCAGGAGGAAAAAAAATCTCCAAACAACAACCTTGCTTGGAAACGCGTTTCAGCAATACAAACGCACACGCCTCTGCCTTCAGGAAAGCAGAAAAGAGCAGCACAAGGAGGACAGGAGAGCCCACAGCGGGGACAGCCAGCCATGCCCACCTCAGCCAGCACGAAGAGCGGCTCGATGACGTCCCTCTCCACCTGCAGCTCGAATTGGATGAGCTCCTGCGCCAGCTTGTCCTCCGCCTCCCCGCACAGCCGCAGCATCTTCCTGCAAGGCACGCACGGCTGGGGCAGGGGTGGGCCGGGGACAGCAGTGCCACGGGGACACGGCGACGCCAGCGCCTCTTACCCCAGCAGGGAGTCATCGCCCAGCACGGCCGAGCCCTCCGTCAGGCACTGCGCCAGCGTCGTCAGCGGCAGCTTCTTCTGCAAAGGGAGCGCGGTGCCGTCAGACCCCGCGCACGGCAGGCAGCCCGCGCCTCGGGCACGGCGCAGACACGTGCACCCGCCTGCAGAGCTCACCGAGCGCTTGTCGGCATCCACGCCCTGCTGGCCTTGCAGGCACGCCGTCAGCTTCTTGTGGGTGCTGTGGGACACCTGCTTCACCAGCTCCAGACGCTTCTCCACCTGTGGGCACAGAGGTGGCCGTCACCGTCCTGTCCCGTCCTGTGGGGCTCTTCCAACCAAAGGGAGTTTGGCTGAGGGCTTCTCTCCCCAGGAGGACTTTGCTTGATCCAAACTGGTGGACCTCCCCACACCTGGGGCGGAGAGCTGCCCGGTTTGCCACGGCCTTGGCTGAGCTGGGAAGTTGATCCCAAAGCTCAGTGAGATGAGTCACTGAGCATCAGCGAACACGATCTGCCCAAGAACAAAGCCGGGAGCATCGAGGTGGGGGGGTGGAGGGGGAACGAGCAGTGAAGCAGGAAGCACAACATCCGGAGGATCATCTGGGAGAACAACCAACCCACACAGTGCCACTGTCCCCCAGCATCTCCCTCCCCAGGTGTGACCCCCCCCCCAAGGACAGCCACGGCCAAGAACTGCACCCAAAGCTGATACAGCCACGTCCCACACTCAGAGCCAGGCAGCAGCACTTCACCTGCAGGAGATCTTCGCTCAGCACCTCTGTCTTCTCAGCCCTGCAGGAAAAGGTTGAAAATTAGAGGTTGGTGATGGGACAGCGTGAAGTCCTGAGGGGAGGGGACTGTCCCCCTCTGCTCCAGATGGGGCAGTGTGCCCAGCCCCGGTGCAGTGCTGAGCTCCCCTGGGGATGGGGTTGTTTTTGCTGCAGAGAGGCAGATGTGCACAACTTACCCGCAGACCCAGCAGCCCCTGCATGCACTGATGCTGCACTGCTGGGTGATAAGGGAACAGTTGCACCATGGCACGGTGTAATGCGTGTTCATAACCTGAGGGGCTTTTTACAGCATTGGTAAATCATTACTTCTTTAAAAACCAATCTGTGCCACGATGCGCTTGGACAGAGTGTGGAACTGAGCTAAAATGCAAAGGTCAGTTATGCTCTCCATGTTCAGCACTGGTTAACATGAGGCTGCAGCACAGCCACATCCTCTGACCTCCTTCCTAACAGCACCCAAACTGCCCAGCTCTCCTTGCCTTTCAATATCTGAGACTGTTTTCTCAGCAGTGAGAGACCAAGCTGCAGAGGTGAAGCACTGAAAAGGTGGAAACAGAGAGCAAGAATGAGGAAACGAAGAACGTGAAAGTGGAAGTGAATCATAGAATGACAGAATCATAGAACGGCCTGGGTTGCAAAGGAGCACAGCGCTCATCCAGTTCCAACCCCCTGCTGTGTGCAGGTCGCCAACCAGCAGCCCAGGCTGCCCAGAGCCACATCCAGCCTGGCCTCGAATGCCTGCAGGGATGGGGCATCCACAGCCTCCTTGGGCAACCTGTGCCAGTGCAGAGAAGAATAATGGAAAAAAAGCTGAAAGGCTGTGGCAGCAGCACAGCTCCCAGCAGGGCAGGGATGTCTGTGAGGTCGTTGGTGAGCACGCTGAGTTCAAAGCCTTTCTGGAAATGTGAATTAACGGTGCTAAATCTGGCTTGCATACGAAACTTGTCACAGTGTCCAATTTAAGGCAGTTTATTTGAAAGAGGCACAGAGAGCCCATCTGGTTCCATTAAAAAATTAGATTTAGATGCACGCATTGCGATCTCCTGCATTTGGAAAGCAATGGATCAGCTCTTCAGCTGCTGGGGGTACGGCCCCTGGGGTCCGGATGCTCCTCTGGGACTCCCAAACCCTTTCAGGGAGCTGTCACTGCCTTCCAGAGTGAAATCCCTTCGGTCATCCATGCCTTGCATTATTTAAGCACCTTCAAGGCACTGTGCAAACACCTGTGCCCAGGTGTGGAGATGGATGAAGGCAGCCGTGTAGAAAAGCAAAGATTTTTATGCCCAGCCATAAGGGTGAGAAATGAGCCACTGGGGAAGGCGGTTGCTTTGGATCCCTTGCATTTAAAAAACAAAACAAAACAAAAGCAAGAGCTGCTCAGATTTTACTCATCTCCTGCAGATCACCTTCAGTTCTTTTGGGCAGGGATGGAAATTGTACAAAATTATCCTGAATATGAGAGAAAGCAGCAAAAACCCAAAGGCAACAGAGGGCAAACCCTCACACAGCACCCACACGGTGCTCCCCACCCCAGGCACCAGGAGCAGAGCACATTCAGCATCGTGTACCTGCTGTACAAAAGCAGATAGAGCAGACATGGTGCTCTATTCTACTTCCATGGAGAGGAAGGAAAGAGCAGAGAGACATGAGAGCATCGTGCACATTCACCCATTCACAGCTCTGGGAGCAAAGCATGGCTGCCACCGCCTCAGTGCCCCGTGCCCACTTCAGCCCCAGGTGCACTGAGCAATTTGCTCCTCACTCACGTCCATGCAAACAGCCATCACCATTCAGAAAATGCTCCAAAAAAAGCAACACTTTTTATGTGCTTTCTCCTTTTCTGGACAGCCAAGCAGTGGGTTTGCACTTTGCCTGGGGCTGTCCAGCTCCAGCAGATCTCTCCCAGCCGTCACAAAACGCCACGTGCTAGGCTGTAATGCATGTGCAGGAAGCAGAAAACAACACTGCACATGGGCTAACAAAATCTGGCCTTGTTCTGCTTTCAAGCACTTGCAGCACAAGAAAACCTCCATGCCCGTAACACCCGGCCCAGCACCCACACCCTGCCTGACCGCAGGGCTCTGTGTGGGTTGGGAGCCCACCAGCAAACAGCCTGGCTGTGCAGAAGGGGGAGAAAAGAAGGCTGAGAGTCCTTTTCCTCCTCCTCTGTCTGAAGGTTCCTGTTTCTGTTCCAGAACACCGAGAAAAACCCAGAATCGATTCATCTCATCTCTGTTTGCTCCCACTGGCAGCGCTCCTGAATCTGGAGATGACACCCAGGGGTGTGAGAACCAAGCAGCATCTCCAAAACGCACATCAGCCCGGAACGAGCCGTTCCAGATTGCTTTTTCACACGTAAAGACTATAAGGAAAAAAATAAATCACATCATCTTACTCCACTGACATCAGATTGTATTGCAGCCCTGAGCCGGAAAAATCCCATTCTACCAGTGATGTTTCCAGCACCTCAGCCTATAATGAACACGGATTTGGAAGGGCTGCTGTGCCTCCTTCCTGCTGCGTGCTGGCTTTACTGTCCCCCAGGGGTGCCTCCAATAACGCTGCCCTAAAAAACTTGCTCACATCCAAAGGAACCCATTGGGAAAGCAGTCTGGCAGCAGCATTGCTTCTTGCAGATGAACCCCATGCCCCAGGAATGCCCCCAGCCCCCCCAGGGCCCAGACTATGCACTGTGCTGGGCAGGGGGGATTAGCAGCTCCGTGCTCTCCCATCTTTCCGCCAGGCACAGAGCACGCTCCTCCCCTTCCCCTCCACACTCCCACCCCAGAGTTGTTTTTCTCAGCACAAATCCAGGCAATTCTCAGCCTCGGTCACCATGCAGACTCTTGGGTCGCTGCGAGCATCTGGGAGAAAGGGGACAATTAGTACATGGAGTTGGAAGCAAACGAGCGGGGGATGCAGCTACAATTTGCTTGGCGTTGGCTTCTGTGAAAACTAATTGTTGCCACCGGAAATCAACACCTATAGAGCAAATTAATTTGATTTAGTGATAAACATGCCATAATCTTCCAAGACAAAATTGCGCACTGAGCCAGGAGCTGCAGCGAGCTGTCTGATTCCCCTGAGCATCTCATCCCAGCGCCAGCAGGCAGAATCCAGGCTTCCACATCACAACATGCTCCCAAACAGGGGTGAGACGTCTTCCCAGGGGCTGAGCCCTGCTGCTGTGGCACTGGGAGGGGTGGAGGAGCGCTCCAGATCCTGCCACGATGCCCCCATGTATGGGCATCACTATACAGCTATGCTTCACCACAGAGTGAGCTCTGGGGATGAACCAACCAACAAACACAAGAAGCACAGCCTCGTATTTTGGCAGTTTCAAACCCCATTCAGCATTTTGCTGCAATATTCTCCCCAAATGGGAAAACCATCCCCCAGAGTCCGTGCAGCTGGGATACGGGTCTGTGAGCCGCGGGGGCTGCATTGCATCCCACGGACAGCCTGCAGTGCCAAGGACGGGTTCCCAAGGACAGGAAGGAGGGCAGGGTTGAGCAGCTCCACACCTGCCTCCAGCAGCTCCACCTGCAGCCCTGGGTGCCGGCACCCCTGGGTGAGGTTTTGCCACGCACGGTTCAGCGTGCAGCTCGGGTAACCCAGGGCACTGCTTGACTCTGCTGATGGGGAATGAGTCAGAAGGAGGCTTTAATTAAGGCACAGCCCTGCGTGCAGAGCTGCTGCCAGGACCACGCAGAACCAGGGCCAGACCCTGCGTGCATCTGCTGCCCCCACCCCAGCACACGGATTTGGCAAATCCCTGCAGGTTCGGGGAGCCGGGAGGAGCGACGGTGATTTATGTGCAATTTGGGGACAAAACATTCAGACTGCTCCATTAATATTTCATTGCTCCATTCGCCAGCGCTGTCGGCTGAGGAGGATAAAAATACCCGGCTGGCTGCCTGCGTCCGCTGCCACCACATCTCTGCTCCCCGAGCCCAGTGAGCCCAGGGTCTGCCTGGGGTGGGCAGTGGGATGAGGGGCTGCAGGTTGACAGTAAGCTGCACCCCACAACACACAGCACGCCGAGCCCTGCTGCAAACCCCATCAGAAAATCCTTGGTGATGCAGCTCGTCCTCACTCCCTCCATCCTTCCTTCTTGCAAGGCTGCATGCAGAAAAAAGCCTCTCTATTTAAAGCCTGTAGCTTGAAGCGTAGGCATCCCGATGCTTGAGGAAAAGGCTCTGCCCAGGAACAGAGCTTGCTGCCCCCCAAAGCCATTCCAAAACAACCCCAACGAGGACACGTCCCCCCGCTTCCCTCCCTCCACGACTGCATTCCCAGCTGCCTGCTGTGCCTTCAGGCACCCAGGAGTGTCACTTTGCATGAGGCTGCTGCTGCCCGTTCCCTTCCTGACAGAGAGAAATCGGCACTCAGACAGTTCTGGAAACCTGGCGGGTGCTGCGGGTGCAGGAGCAGCATCACAGCCACTCCCCATGGCCTTGGCAGCCCCACACATGGAATGGGGAAGCACAGGAATAAAGCAGGAACACTCAGCAAGCATCACAGCCACTCACTGATCTCTCTTCCCTCTTTTCACCCCATGGAGATATGCATTACATCCCCTACAGACCAGCCACATCCATGCTGGGTGATGCTTCAGGCTGGGCACCAAGTTCGTCCCAGGGATGAGCACCTCTGGTTCTCCACCTCCTTTAAACAAAACCAGGATTCTCACAGCCCTGTGTGCTTGTTTTTATAAGAGGGCTGGGAAAAGGGCTGTGAGGGGCAGCAGGGACAGAGCCAGCCTTGAGACCAGGAAGGTGCAGTGGAGCAGGAGGGGAGGCAGCAGAGGACAACGGGAGAGGATGGCGGAGTGGGACAGTGCTGTGCCAAGTGGCCATTTCCTTCCTCAATTCTGCCCTCTCTCCTTGCCCTTCCCCTTTTTCTATTGTGGTAAACAAAAGGAGTAAACGGCGCAGCGCAGCCTTTGGCCCCCATCCAAAGCTCGAGGTGCTGAGGAAAGGGCAGCTGTGTGGGGAAGAGGCAGTGCTGCTCCTCTGGGTGCTGCTGCTTCCTGGAATGGGGAGCCAAAGGGGTTTCCCAGAGTTACAGCACTGTTCAAAACATGATTTTAATACAGGTGCACGGCTCAGGTGCTGGCTAGGTAAAGTAATAACGGGGACAAGTGTGGGAGTGGCAGGACGGATCGGACCATTAGCTGCAAGCCTAGCACAAGACATGGCAGCGATGTCCTTAAAGAGGGGCACAGCACCCAGCTGCCTCCCAGGCACACTCCATGGCAGGAGCACGGGGCTGGGGATGGCAGCTTTTGTCCCCTGCCCCCAGCCCTAGTTCACACTCACTTGGGGAGAAGGCAACTACATCCACAGGGCTTGCTGGGAGGAGTGGGATCAGCACTCCTCCCATCTTCGTGGCACAGAGCAAACTGCCCTCAGCATCCCCACTGCCCCTTACAGCAACTTGAGGGATGGCGTCCATCTGCAGCACGGACCCTCCAGCACCCATCCCCAGGGTGGCAGCACTGCAGGGATGTCAGCCCCACACCCACAGACCCAGCCGGTCACAAGACAGTGCTGCAGCAGAGCACGGCAAAGGATTACTTATTTATTTGCCTGCTGAAAAGCCTGTGCACGAGCGGGAATATTGCAAACATGGGCGACAGGCTGGCTGCTGCGTGTGAGCCCTACGGAGCAGAGCTTCCCCCTGGTCGGTCCCCAGCCTGGAGAGCAGAGCACAAACCGCCCTGCAACGCTCCGAGCTGCGAATTCATGCTCCTGCCTGCGTCACCTGCCACGAGCATCTCCCAAACGGCCGTTACCCGGAGCGCTGCGCCCGCCCCCAGCCCAGCAGCGAGGCAGGAGGGCTCTGGGGCTGGCGGTGACCCCATTTTGAAGGCTGACGCGTGGGACACACAAGGTGCTGGCAGCAGCTGTGTTCCTCCAGCCCGGTCCCTGCTCCTCTTGAAGGGACCGAGCCCGGCGCAGCCCCCTCCATCCATCCCCGCGCTCCTGCTGCACGGCGCCGGTGGGGAACTGCGGCCATCTGCGGCCGTGCTGTGGGGATGTGTGACTGCACAGCGCCGTGGGATGAGGCACAGAGCTGCCGCCGCTCGTCCCTATCACTCATCTCGGGAAGGAGGAGAATAGAGGGATGATGGATGCAGGGATGGATGTAGGGATGGAGGAGTGGATGTAGGGAGGGATGCAGGGATAGAAGGAAGGTTGCACGGAGGGATGGAGGGATATACGCACAGCCATGGGAACACGGTGGCAGCCCCACAGAGGACACAAGGAGCAGCCCCCTGTAATGGGGTGCCCGCACACAGCCCTGCCCCAGTGCCGGTGCCACCCGCCCTGGTGCCGTGTTGGAGTCGCGAAAGAAAAAAAAAAACAATAAATCCTTCCACCACCACCCCCCACCGCTGCAAAATCTCAGGAATTACACAACAACCGCCTGCAAAGCCGCGGGTCTGGCCGTCGGCCCGGAGAGCATCACAGCACCCACACACCCCCACAGGCACCCCAACGCGTGCCACCCCGCACCACGCCGGCCCCAAAAACCCCGCGCTTCAGCCGGGGGGAGCCCTCGAGGGATGGGTGCGGCCGCATGCAGGGATGCCGGGGGGAACAGCGGAGGGTGATGGAGGGCTGAGGTTGGGGTAGGGGAGCTGTGGGGTGCGATGTGCTCCGGAGCTGGGGTGCGGGCAGGGTGCAAGTAAGGCGCGGGCAGGGTGCGGGCGGGGTGCGAGTATGCAGCAAGGGGTGCGGGTGGAGGTGCAGGGCAGGTGCAGGCGGGGCGCACGGCCCGTCCCCGTCCCTACCTGCCCACGGTCTGGTTGGCGAGCTGGCGCATGCGATTGAATTGCTTCTTCATGGTGGCGGCGGCGCGGGCGCCCCTTACGCGGCCGCGGGCGGGCAGAGGGGAACCGCTCCCGGCGCCCCTCCCGCATCCCCGCCCGGCGCGCACCGGGCCGAGCCGAGCCGAACCGGGCCGAGAGGGGCCCCGCCGCCCCCGCGCCTCCCTCCGCCTGCGCGGGCCCCGCCGCCGCTCTCCGCGCCCCCCGCTCCGCGCTGCCCGCCCCGCGCCGCACCGCCCCGGCCGCGGCGGAGCTGGGAAATGTAGTCCCGGAGGGATCGGCCGGGAGAGGGGATTTCAGCCGGCCAGGCTGCCCCTTGTGTCCCTGCGGAACCCTGCGGCGTTCCTACAGCATCCCACCGCATCGCCAGCACCTCCCCGTGCTCAGCATCTCCCTCCGTGCGGCGGAGGGAACTGCGGAAACTTAACCTGGAGAAAAGGAGGCTCGGGGGGCACCTTATTGCTCCTTACGACGACATCATGAGGTTGTGGCGAGGTGGGGTCGGTCTCCGCTCCCAAGAAACGAGCGACAGGACAAGAGGGAATGGCCTCACATTGCATCAGTGTAGGTTGGGCATTAGCTAACATTTCTTTGTGGAGAGGGTCGTGAAGCGATGGAACAGACTGCCCGGGGACACAGCTGAGTCCTCGGGATCCCTGCAGGGATCTAGAAGGTGTGCAGATGTGGTGCCTGGGGACATGGTTTAGTGGTGCACTTGGCAGTGCTAGCTTAATGGTTGGACTTGATGCTGGAAGCCTTTTGCAACCCAAATGCTTCTAAGACTCTCTGGATCTATCTCCCTGTAATCCCCAGCATCCTCACAGCATCCCACCAGCATCTCTCAACATCTCCTATTGCCACTGTTGGAGCCCCACAGCTTGGAGTTCTGTCCCTGCATGGTGCAGGGTGAGCTGGGCGTTTCCCCCTGCTGACACAGTTCCTAAGCAGTGATCAATGCCAGCCCCGCTCCTTTTATTTCCTGGAAATTCAGTGCTCATCCAGTGGGAAAAGCTGAGAACTGCAGTGCTAATGGACAGCACACACATCTTGGCAGCTCAGTGCGGGCAGCACCGGCCCTGGGAGTCCCACACTGTGCACTCTGCCATCCCCCCCTGTGCCAGGTGCCATCTGAGGACATTTGCATGTGGAGGGCTGAGCACGTTTGCCAAGTAACTGTTGTCCCTCCCTTCTCCCCTCCCTCATTGCCAATTTTGGCCAAAATCTGTAGTATTCTTCCCCATGGTTTCATTCCCTCCCAAGCCAGTGTAATTCCATGCCACGTGCTGGTACGATGGCTGCACCCCACACTGTGCACCCCAAACAAGCTCCTTTGGGCCACTCCGTCTGCCAGTGTACTTCTGGAGTGGGCTTCTGGATGTCTCCAAGGCTCCTTCTTTTGCTCTGACATATCCCAAAAGCTGAGGCTGCACTGTGGCGATGCTCACTGGCCATGGCAGGGCAGAGTGCTGCTCCAGGCTGGCTCTGGGGCTCATCAAGGCAACAGGGCACCCCTCTCTCTGCAGGCTCATGGCCGGCCCACCCCTACCATCCCTGCCTCACCAGCCCGTGCTGCTGCACCTCCAGGATCAGAGAGCATCGGCCCAGATTGGTCAGAGCCCATTAGCATCAGAGCCAGGCATGCCAGTGGGAAAAAATGTGGGCCAACAACCCCATGTGAGCAGGGCACTGTCCCACTGCCCACACCCTTAGGCTCCTCCTGACCCACATCTGCTCCTGGGTAGTCAACTTGCCACCAAAATATGTCACAGGCAGATGCAACACTGCAGAGAAGTTCCCTGGAATGGCTTCTATGCACCTCTGTTCTCAGTTTCAGGAAGCAGAGAAAGAGGTGGTGAGAGCAGTGCCCTGTGGTCCTGCAGCAGAAGGGTGGGAAGGGAGCAGAGGTGGTGGGCAGCAGGAGCAGCAAAGCTTGCAGCAAGGCTGCCCACTGTGTCAGCTGGGCAGTGTGACCCTCATGCAGCATTGAGACCTGACCGGGCCTGACTGCATCCATTGTGCTGTGACACCACAGATCCTGAAGTGCACTGGAACTGCAAAGCCTCTGCCTGCTGCATGGCACTGCTCTGCCACATCTGGGTCACTGTGCTCAGCTTTCTGCTTCGTGCAGTGTAAATAACCATCAGACCTGTGGCCGTGAGCAAGCACTGGCAGGGCATGTTCCCAGCCTGCAGCAAGCATCCCTCCCTTTCCTGCATGCCTGGCTCTGCTGTGCCCAGGGCTTGGCCCTGCCATCTGCTGCCCTGGCCGGAGATGCCCTCCTCACTGCGCAGCACATGGCACTGCAGCTATTGCTCTATGGGTATTTGTGCAGCCCCTCTGTAGGAATCCCACTCACCTCACGTGCCACCAGCAGCCACACGGGAGCCAGGACCAAATCTCTGGCAGAGGGCTGCTCTGGGAGCCCCATTCCCAGGATGTTTTCCCTATTACATAAATGCAGAGGAGGGTGTTTGTGTTTCCAGCCAAGGCTGCAAAGCCTCACTTACCACTGCTCTGCTCCCAGCACCTGGATTGTGCCTGGCCACAGCTGGGCAGCACAGCTCACAAGCCCACCCAGGGCTGCACGCTGCACCCCGCTGCTCGCAGAGGGGCAGGGAGGCATTAAGGTGCTTTGCAGATGATTTTGTTCTCGCTCTGCTATGCACAGCCAAGGCCTCAGGCAGAGCAGCTTCAGCACGCCCTGGCTGTGGGCAGCTGGCAGGGGAAAATTGCATTAGAATGGTATTAATTGCCTTAGTGCAGCACGACAGCTCACTCAGAGCCCGCAGAGCCAAAGGGACGCATGAGGTCAGGGGAAGCCAAAGCTCTGCTTTGTCCCAAGGCTTTGCATCAGCACAGGAAACGGATTGTCCTGGAGTCTGTGCAGACCTCATCCTTGGAGATATCAAAGCCCAACCAGGTGCAGCTGCTGGGGATGGCGAGGTGACCCCGAGGGGCTTCAGCCTTGCTGGGTTTGTTCTGAATGACAAGTCCTTTTTTTTTGTGGTGATGTCACATCGGTCTGCCTGCGGGGCTTTTTAGCTGACCCTTTCCTTCTATCTCAGTTTTGGGGCAGAAAGGTCCCATGCAGGGTTCCCTAAGGGATCCCAAAGCCCTGCAGCATGCTGGCTTTCTTCTAATCCCTGCTCTCCCCAAACCCCTGTACAGAAATCACTACAACGATGTAGCACCAAAGCCTGAGGTCCATAAAAAGTGGATGGCTCACTTCAGGTCCCAGTCCTTCCAAGCGCTGAAGCAAAAATGCAATGAGTGTGAGCTCTGCCTGCAGAAAAGGGTTTCCCACTGGATTTAAACTTTGCAGTCCATGGTAATCCCCTTTCCCAAGGCTGTTCTTGTGTGATTCTTGGGCTGCTGTGGGAAAAACTGTGCCAGGCACTGAGCGGCTGCTCACCCTGTGCCAAAACCTGGATCATGGCATCAGCTCCCTGAGCAAAGTCCCCACTGCAGGCACTGGAGCCAGGAGAGCAGGGCATTCCGTGGGGCTGTGCAGATGGATGGGATGGGGTAAATCAGTAACTGCTGGTGACTCGTGGTGCAAGAGAACACAAGCTGTACTGCTCTCTGGCTTCCTCTACCTGCAGCAGGATCAGGGCAGTGACACTGCCACCACCAAATGCCAACCCCTGCAAGCGAAGCCAGTGCTTCCAAAACTTGTGCAAACTTTGTGGGGTGAGCAGTAGGTCCTGATGGCAGCTGGACATGCTGTGTGTAGGGCACTCTGAGCCTCAAATATCCAAAATACCAAATACACAATAAAGCCCTCCATGTGCGACATCTCTTGTCTGAGAACCACATGAATTCCTGTTAGCCATCAGCACAGGCTTCCAGCTTTGTTGTGGATCCATTTGAGACCCTCAGCCCTTCAAGGATGCTGCACACACAGCAGGGATGTCCCACATGCCATTGGGTGGATGAGAAAGAAGTCCTACCACCTCCCTCAAGGCTCCACCTCCTGCAGTGAGACCCTGCCAGCACAGCCATTAGTCCCTGCTGTAGGTGTCTGTGGAGGGCAGTGAGAAATCTGCATTGCCCTGCACAGAAAGCACAGCAGCTCAGCACCTGCTGTTCCCCAGCCCAGGTCCAGGAGGAGATGCACACGGAGCTGTGTGCTCCACATGGAGGACCAGCTGAAGATGCCCTACATTGCATTAGTGATCCATGAGCTGCAGCTTCCAGCCAACCCACCTGGAGAACCTGCTGCAGACATGGACTTCTGGGACCACAGCATCCCCAGGGTGATGTAGTGATCCTCTGTGCCTCCGAAGGGCTGGTAGAGGAAGTTTCACAGTAGAACTTGGACTGCTGGCTCACTCCAGAAGGTCAGAGAATCACAGAAACACAGAACATTCCCAAACTGGTAGGGACCGATGGGGATCACTGCATCCAAACCCCCACCCCACACAGCATCATCCAAACCCTGTGGCAGAGAGCAGCATCCCAGCACTCCCTGAGCCCCAGCAGGTTGAAGCACCTGCCCAAAGCTTTCAGCATCCCAGAACAGTCTGAGCCAGGAAAACATTCACTTTGGTTTACTTGATTTGATTTTTGATATTTCTGGCAATACCAGAGAGTCAAATCAGGTAAATGAATGAAGTATATTATCATTATCTGGTAAATGAATGTCAGGAACACACTGCTTGCTGCAGAACACAGACCCCAAGCTGCAACCATGGGGAGTGGAACTCCAGCAAAATGCTTTCAGCTGGGGCAGGAGCACCAGAGCCAACAAAGGGACTGAGTCACAGCCAGGCTGTGCTGTGCTTCAGAGCTGTGCAGCAGATAAGGAGTGCAGCCTGCTGCCCAGCTGCTGGGCTCAACTCCTCCATGTCCTGCACTCAGCGTTTGTCCCTGGCACGTACCCCCAGGTGCGGCTCAGCACGGTGCAGACGGAGAACTCCCTCCAGATTTTGCTTTTGGAAGCAGATGGCAGAGCAGGACACGGTCACGGCTGTCTGCAGGGAGGTGGGGATGTCCTTTGGGGTCCCTGTGTGGTTTTGGTGGTTGCTCGTACCTTCCTGCCTGCGCGGAGCAAGAAACCTATGACTTAATGGCACAGACAGGCACGCGGGGCACATGCAGGTGTCCGGAGCTGAGTTTGCCGCGTCAAAGGAAAACAACGCCATGGCGGGGCTGAAGCCCTGCTTTCCTCCAAGCGCCAGAGCCCTGCAGCCCACGAGAAGCGGGCACAGCACAGCCCCGGCCTCTGCCCAGCACGCACGGAGCTGCCGTCCCTCCTGCTGGGTCCGACCCCGCACGGACGATGCTCGCAGCACCGACCGGCGCGTCGCGGTTCCCCGGCAGCGCAGCTCGGTGTCCCGGCAGCGCGGGGCGGGGCGGACCGGGATGGCGGCGGTGCGGGGCTGCGGGTTCGATCCGCGCCTCGGCACTGAGCGGGGCCGGGGAGCAGCGGGGTCAGGAGGCACCGAGCTCCTCCTCCGGGCAGGTGGGAGGACGGGGCTGCGGTTTGTCGAGAAGGGAAGCGGCTGTGTTTGCCTTAACGTTACCTGGGGGACGGCGGGGAGGTCTGTCGTGCTCTTTTCTGCTGCAGCGTCGTGACAAAGACTTGTTTCTACTGAAGGAAATCTGATGGCTAAAGCAGGAGTACCCCACTCAGAAAACATCCCTTAACAAGAGGCTGTTTTGATATTTCCAGGACAGAAAACCCTCCCTTCACCTCCCTGCTTTCCCCTTCCCCCCCCAGTGCTGCTAAATGGGAAACGTCCCATTTGCAAGGAGAAAACTGTAGGACTGCACTCCCACCAAGCTCAGCCCTGGCTGCACTGACAGCTGTCCCGTTGCTGTCTGTCCCTTCCAATGTTTTCTAGGTGGGCAAACACCAGCAGTGCGCTTCTGTCCCCCAGCTGCCAGCAGCCCCATCCCAGAGGGCCCTGGTGCAGAGGTCGCTTTGTTTACTGCATCCTCAGCCCATGGGAACCTCCCTCCCCATCCTACATCTCTCCCATCACTTTCTCGTGTCGCATACAAGGACTTCATTCGCTGCCTGCCGGTTCATCTCTCCCGGTACATCCTGGGTAAGGCGTCTCTCATTTTCCAAGGGTGGTTTCCCCTGAGGGTGACGGGTGGCTTCTCATGGATGTTGTTCTCTGCCCTGTCCTCTTTGTTCCTCAGGGCTTCTGGATAACAAATCCCTTAAAACATGTGCCAGTGTGAGTAAATACTGGGCTTTTCTGGCCAAAGAAGTTGAGAAGGAGCAGGTGTGCCAAAAAGCAGTACAGAAGAAAATCCTGTATTTGCAGGTATGGTGCCTGGACTTCTGCCATCATTGTGCCCTTATTTTATTCTTTCCGATGTTGTTGCCCAAACCATGAGACAGAGGTGCCTTTCTGGAGGCCACCTCCCAGCTTCATCCTATTCCTTCCTCCATCTGCAAACTTGGGCTGGATGTTCATGCAGTTTCAAACACAACAGAATAACTTTTAGCGATGTTTAGGGAGCCTGCAACTCTGAACGTCGATCAGGACACTCTAAAATCAAGATCTGGTGATGGGGTCATTTTAACTCTGCCCAGCAAACTTTATTTGCTCCACATAGGATGATGGAAATGCTAGGTTTCATTGTGAAAAGCCAGAGCTGGGGGCTGGGATGCAGTACAGCAGAGCTTGGAGGAGAGGTTCACCCTGATTATTACAGACCAAGCTCTGCTGTGATTGTGTTGCCTCTGTTGGTTTCTTCCAGGGGTTGTGCCCTCAGGGAGCAGTTTCCAACTATGCTAAAATAGTCAGTGTAGCAGTTCCACAGTTAAATGAAAAGGGATGTGTCACCAAAGTGAGAGACCACAGCCCTGGAAGTAAAACAAAGGTATGTTGGAGGGGGTTTGCCTTCTGTGTCTCTTCCATCTCCGGGAGAAGGGAGGACACATTGTCTTGGGAAACAGAACTGTGAATTTGGAGTTCCTTTGCTCTTCTGCTTCTGGCTTGAACCACTGCAAGCAGCTCATAAGGACCACTTCTTGCATGGGGGGAAGCCAGCATCCATGTCCAGAAGGATGTTCTGCTTTGTCCTAATGTTTCCCCCTAGGCACAGGAGTAGCTTTGAGGCCATAGCACTGGCAAGGCTGGGCATCATCATGGGGGACACGGCCTCCATTCCAATGGATAAAGATGGCTGCCACTGAGTGAGGCAGAAGGGAAGAAGCCTTGTTTCTGTGCTAACCAGGGAGTTACTGCATGCTGGTTGTTCTTTACTGGCACTTTCCATCTCTATCGTTCCTGTAGGGAGTAAGCTGATATGGCTAATGCTATGGAATAGCAGTGTGCTTCTGCCACTCCTGGGTAATGCTTCCCTATTTCTTTCCACCAGGAAGACAAGGAGGAGGAGGAAATCAAGCTGCAGGCAGCCTATCATGATCTGCAAACTGACACAATCCAGCTGGAAGAGAGGAACGTATTCTGTGGCTCCTACAGTATTCTTGTCCTCACTGACCGGTACGTGGGCTGCACCTGCCTGTTTTCTGCACTACCTCTGAAGGGCCAAACAGGGCTTCTGAAGCCCTGTCCCCTTCCTTGCAATCCTTCTGTGGGTGGATCTATGGCTGGAGAAGGGTCTTGGTGTCAGTGACAAGCAACTCACAGTATCAAACCTTTTTTTTTTCCCCTGTAATAAAGATACCAAATGGAATCACCCTTGAAGACACAAGGGTTAGGACCCATGGTATATCACAAGGGATGTGGAGCTGGGAGGAGCCCTCTCCCATTTTTAAAGCTTACCTTCCAGATATGATCCTAGGAATGCAGAATGAGGACCATGGTTGTGGTGCTCTGCAAAGGATCCACATCCTCAGCAGGCTGCCCATCAGGTTGCTCTTTGAGGATCACTCAGCACTGAGTACTGCTAGAGCTTGTCAACTGACAAAAGCTCATCTCAATCACTCTTCTTCATCCAGATCAGACCCAGACAGAGTAATCCACTATGCTGGGGGAGACTTGGTAGCCCTTGGTTCTGCAGATCGAAAAGTGAGGATTTTTAATGTGTTGTCAATGAGAGAAGTGCCACCTCTGCTCTCTGGGCATGCTGGAAGCATCAAAGCACTGCTGCTTGATGAGAAGAAAGGGCTCCTTCTTAGCACGAGCTGCGATCTCAGCATCAGGTGAGCAGCCCTGGGACTGTGCCCTGGGTCCCACCTCCCTGGAAATATAAGAAATTAGAGCTTAAATCCTTCCACTCCAATCTTTATGAATCCTCCTGACCGTCACTTTCACCGTAGTAATGAAGTAAAGCCGATAAATTAAACACATCCACCATAGGACTGCTTCTGTTCTCCAGTTTCACCCAATACTGAACGATAAAGTCGGAAGATGCTTTCATACAAGCTGTGTATCACTGTACCTTAAAGCACCAGGGCTGAGTGTGGTAGGTGCCAGCAGTGAGGTTCTGCACCAAGTTCCTCCATGACGCTGCAGGAGGTTTGTTGTGCTGAGCAAACCCTGCAGCCTGCTGCTGGGGTGCAGCTGCTCCTGCCCAGGTCCTGTGTGTTGACACAAGGGGGTGGAGATGAGCAGCTGCTTCATCTTATTTTCCACTGAATCTCAGGAGTGTTACGCCGAGGGGTGAAAAGCTCGAAAGCTCTGGCATGGCGCGTGCACAACATCCACAAAAACAGCATTTAACAATAAGGGACGAGTGATTCAGGCTCTCCTGCCTGCCCTTCCCCTCCCCAGGAGCATTGTTTGTTGAGTGTTCTCAAGACAAAGTCAACCCAAATCATTTTGGTACCCACCAGCAAAGAAATAACCTTATCTGTAAAGCTCTCCGTCTGAAGGTCAATCTGACACAGCCGTGCCAGAGCTGAAATCCAACTGCAAATTTCCAGGCAGTTTGAGGATGGAAGAGCAGACAAAAAGTAAAAATGTAATGTTAAGCCTGATTTGATTGTTCTGAATCCCTCATTAACTCACTGGGATGTCTCCTGATCTTAATGTAGCGTGGATTTGAGAAGAGCTGGGCCTGTTAAGTAGGAAGTAATTAATCATCCATAAATGATATCATTAACCACTGTATTTCCTTTACCATATAGATGCTGGAATATATATAGTGGTGCTTGTATGAAGATCTTTACTGGTCACTGCAGGACCATCACCTGCTTGGATTTACACAGCAAGAAGTTTGTGTCGGGGGGCACAGATGGGATGGTGAAAGGTGAGAGCCAAAGCTAGGAGCTGTGCAGCCAAGGGAATGGCAGAGAACTGGGGAGTTCTGGAGTGATACATGTGATAGTCTGAAGACAAGTGTATTAGGGTGGATTTTTATTCTTATTGTTGCTTATTTTGTTGTTTTTTTTTAAAGGCTGTGTGGCTATAGGGCCAGAACAAATCTCAGGAAAGTGGTACAGCTTGCAGCTTGTTATTCACTTGCAGATTAAGCATTGAAACGATGTGCCATGGTCAGGGCTTTGTATTTAAAAGGTTTGCTTTGTAGTCGCACTCTTTATGTCAACACCTGGCTCCAGGCAGAGCTGCAGGTACAAGGGGCAGATCCTTTTAATTCATACAAACAAACCAAAACCATCCAGTAGGGACAGATAATTGTCAGCATTTCTCCTCTTTAATCCTAACAGTGTGGAACTTGGACAGCGAGGTATGTCTGAAGACCCTGAAACACAGCAATATTGTTTATGCTGTTAAAATGGATGGAACCCATGTTGTCAGTGGGTGTGACAGAGGGCTGGTGAAAGTCTGGCATGCTGGCACAGGCACTCTGCTCAAAGTAAGTTTCTTAGGTGGGTAATCCTGTGCCACTTTACTGCACTAGTTTATCATCGCTAGTTTCTGCCCCCGAGACTCTTTAAAACCAAAGCAAAGCAAAGAAATAAAAGAGAGTCCAAACTGATAAAAGGAACGGCAGAATTGTTGGTGAAAGAATAATATAAAAACTGGTTTGCAAATATCTAAGTTCTTATCTGGGATATTGCCTTGTATTCAAGCCCTTTTGTTATTTAAACTTTGTAGGTACGTTTATCTCTGCTCAGTTGGAAGCATTGAGAACCTGAGAGGGGCGTGGGAGGGCTGGACTAGCAGCTTCCAGGGTTGGAGGTGTCATGGGTCATCCAGAATAGGAAGTTTGTTGTTCTCAGAAGCAGCAGCAGTTTATAAGAAGCTGGGCGGCTGCTCTGCAATGTAAAGGTTGAGGCCAGAGCCTGCTAATTAGCTTTGCAGGTGTCCAGAAGCAGTATGAATCCAGACTTCTGAGAGGAATGGCATTGAGCTGCAAATTGAGTTGCACCTTGAGAGCAAGATAACCCATCTCACCTGGGCTCAGACTGTAATTGCCCCTTCCGCCACAGTCAGTTTCTCCCCTGTTTCTTTTACTCTGAGGTACTAGAAGGGCACCTAGGCCCAGTGAGGTGCCTGTCCTTTGATCGGTGGCACCTTGTCTCAGGAAGCAGTGACGGATACGTCTTGGGATGGAGCATGGTGGGAGAGCTTAAGAGGTGCCTCACGGCTTTCCGCCACCCAAAGTAAGTGTCTGTGTGTTTCGAGGTGTATTCTAAAGCATGCTGTAAAAAGAAAAAAAATAAGTCTCCCTTACAGGAACACAAAATATCTTACAATGGTCAATGCTGGAATGTGAAATCTCCTTTTCCAACCGTCCTCCATCTAAAAAGTGTTAGGCAGGGCATGGTCATAACCAACATTTGTCAGTTGTGAAGATCTGTGACAAGCTAGAATACAAATACACAGCTGCTGGCTCACAAACAGGAGTGACTGAAGACAGAGACAGTGCATAGTCCAAAATTTGAAGGATCCCAGCCTTCACTCAACTGGGTGTCGTGCAACTTGGTCAAGAGTTGACTCTGTGTGTGCTCATGGTGGCTGCATTGCATGCTGAACCCCACCTGCTGCATATTAGATCAACTTGTGGTACTTGCTTGTTACAACTATGAGAACCACAGCATCTTATTGTTCTATTTACTTTCCTAGACACAAAAATAAAATGTTAAATGTGCAGACAGCTGTAATCACAGTGGTTACTCTAGGACGAGCGTCGGCTTTGCTTGTTGGCCATGGTCACTTTGTTGATCTTCACAGGACTGGTTATGAAGAACTTCTGCAGGTCTTCCAAACATCTTGATTGCTCCTGTTGTGTTTTTTAAGCCTGTTGATAGAGGCAGGGCTTTGCATCCCTTGCAAAACAAGAGGCAGTTGATCTTGTCTCCTGGTGAAGGCAGGTGACTGCACCAACGTTTGCATGTTGTGTTTTCAGGGAAGTTCTGTCTCTGGAGTTGCTCTATCTCAGAGTTGTCAGCAGTTGTGCTGATGGGAAGATCCGTGTGTTTAACTTCCTGACTGGGAGCTGCCTGAGAGTGCTGGTGGGCAGCAGCAGAGGGGATCCTGTATCTTTCTGTGCTTCCGAAAACAGGTTGGTGACAACAGCTGCAGTCAGACTCTACCAAATTAGGTAGGTTAGGTTGTAATTTCAGGAATGATGTATTCTGCCATCTCTCTCTCTTGCAAATAAGCTTTAAAGGACTCTGCTGCTTCAGGACCGCTTTGACAAATTGTTTTTTATTAACAATGGCTGAAAATGATTTGTTTGGTTCTTTCAGCAGTCTAAAATTTCCCATTTCTGTATGATTTAAGATAAAATCTGAACTGTAAAGCTGAATTCAAATTACTGAGAGGCTGGAGAAACAAGCCAAGGACTGACAAAGCCTTTGCTCGCTCCCTGACCCGGCTCAGTAGAAAAGCCAACAATGGAAAATGCTTCCAGGTTCCTTCATATCTGCAACTCTAAAGGTGGCTCCCAACTTCTGGATAAGTGAGAGCTGAATCACCAATGTGCTGTGAACACTCTTTTGGTCATGACCCTAAAATGCATCATTATGTAGGTGAGCTGCTAGGAAGAAAACTAACTCCATCCCAGCCAGTCCCAGGACACCCCCCTACGTGAGGTTTAAAGCCCCTGATAACATGGTGTCTCCAATTTCTTGTGGCATTACGTTGGTCAAATTCAGTCCACTGTTGGGACATTTTGATTTTATTTCCTTAACTTTCATCCTTTGTGGCAATGAATTTACCATAAGTGGGATGAGAGGAGCAGCGCAGAGCTCAGGCAGACGACCTGAGTTAGAAGTGTGGTACGTGACTGACGGGACTAATTGCTACTGCTTTTTTCTTTCACGAAGAAGTGATCATTTTCTCAGCTGTGTTTAATTACCCCCAGGGTTTGTATTAGACAGAAGCAAACCTGTTAGGCAGTACCTGCTGCGTTAATGATATTCTTGCTTTTAAGAGCCTCCCCTTTCCTCCCCCAGGATGGTGATCAATGCACCCAGCGGCCTGCTGATGTTCCAGTTTGAGGATGTCACGTGGGACTACAAGCTAGGAGCTGAGCGAGAGCTGGTGTGGAAGCAGAAGCAGGAGAGCTGCCCTTTGGACACAGCATTGACTCCCTCCCAGCAAACCAAGAGCCTCATTGCCAGCCAGATGCGTCACCTGAAGATACGAGGTGCTGGCCTTCTCGTGCTTGATCCGCTTGCCAAAATGTTCTGAGTGCCTCAAAGCACTAGATATGGCCTTTCAGTGCTCTGGCATGGTTTGCTGAAGTGGGTTAGAAATAGCATCAGGTACCTGCTGTCTTCATATGCAGGCTCTTCACTTTTTGAAGTGCAGCCGAGTGAACGTACTGCTGCATTTCAATGGGTCTGTCGTTTCCAGGCTTTGGAAAACCTTTGCACCTTTTTAGAAAGGTCTGATATAAATTCAGCTTGCTTGAGACAGTTTCTGTCATTTTCCAGCTGAGTAATCCATCAGTGATATTATTCACGTCCTGACAGCTGGTGTGCATGGAAACATGCTGCTGATTCAGAGCCTGAATTATTAAAATCCCCAGAAAATCATAGGACACCTGCATCCAGAACTTGCCATCACTGGGATATGCAATTGCACATAAGCAGGCACCTTTTAAATGATCATACTGTGGTGTGATTTTTGAGAAATCAGCAGTTATTTGATACAGTACCACAAATCTACAATCAAACAGCACAGAAGCAGATGAGCTAGGTAGGGAAGTTTTCATAGCATGAATTGCTAACTTCCTTGAAGCAGCTGTGCCTGGTGCAGGACGTGAGGTGGGCAGCAACAGGAAGCAAACTGATTGTTTTAATTGTAGTGGCAAAAATCTGGGTGGTGTATATGCACACCTAACTCTGAACATCAGCACTTACTGCCACCTTTGGCTCCTGTGATGCTTTCTGTTAATCAAGCACGAGTGGGTTGTTTCCAACATCCAGCTGTGATAAGAGGCAAAGCAGTGGCCAGAGACTTCGAATCTCATAATTTACGAGGATTTTTGTTTTAAATGGAAGTTTAACACCAACACAGCTTAGAGATGATGTATTCTTCTGCTTTCTAGCTCTGTGCAATGAACTGATAAAACCTGCAGCTTGCCAGCAACAGGAGCATTTGCTTGAGAGCAGGAGGTCTTCTCAAATCCAGGCAGAGCAGCAAGAGCTTTTTGCTCCTGGTAACAACCAGCCCCATCCTCTTGCTTTGGGACAGCCAGCAAAGGCATCTTCTGTAAGGAACCTGGCAGATGCTGGTGAGAACTTGTCATAGCACGGTAGGATGTTGGCTCCTTGAATGAGTGCATCTAAGATAAATGAATGGATTAAACAAGAAGTAATGATCTGTAGGAGACAGGCCAATTCTGGATGAGAGGTTTGCAGTGGCAAAATGGATCCTTGTAGAGGGTGCAGTGGTTACAGGAGCTGTGTAAGATCAATCAAATAGGGAAAGCAATCCAGTCCAATGATAAAGCCAAGCTCTCTGGTATCTTGGCTTTTTTTTTTTTTTTTTTTTCCATAACCTTATTCAAGCTGTGGTTGCTTTATCACACGTAGGAGATACGTGTAGGAAATATCTTCAGGTAGTAAGTAGCTGCTAAGAAAAACATGCTTAAAATAATATATGTGGAAATCATCTCAGCCAGCTTGACACAGCAAGCTGTAGTTCGAAAATGACAGCACTGAGATCACAAATATGGTCCTTGGCCATGTGGTATTTCTCTCAACTTACAGTTTCTCCCAGCATTCAAATTCAGAGTCTGTTGGATTTTTGAGTTGGGCAGACGCTGAAATCTCGCTTCAGAAGTGCTGAAACCATCAGAAGTCTTTTACCCCAAATTCAGGGTGTTTGTAACTGAGATCCAGAGCCACCCATATGTGCAGACTGAAAAAACTGAGTGAGGAATAAGCAGTGATCCTCATTAGTAGTGTTCAGGCTGCTGGCCATTTTACTGGTTGGGTTCCCCAGGGCTCCATTTTGGGGCCAGTTCTCTTCAATGTTTTTAAATAATCCAGAGGTGGGATTCAACTGCATACCAAGTCAGTTTGCTGATGGTAATAAATTAGGAGGAGCTGCTGACTCCCTTGGGGGCAAAGAGACCTTGCAGAGAGATCCTGAGCAATCAGCAACTGCACAAAGTTTAACAAGTGCTGGATGTTGTGCCTGGGATGGGGCAACCCTGGCTCTAGGTACAGGTGGTCCTTGTGGGTCCCTTCCAACTCAAGATTCTGTAATCAGTCTGTTGTGCTGTGTTCTGCCTTTGCAAATTAAGCTTATTATTCTCTGAAATATATTTCCAGAAGGCAGAAGTATCAGTTAACCAGCTTAAAAAAAAAAACAAATAAAAAAAAAAAAGAGCCAAGCAGTGATGTGCAAATGGCATCACACTGCTTTGCAAGGTGACAAGTGAAGTGTTAGAGTGAGGCCATGGCTCTGAGCGTTGTACAGTCTTTGCTCAAATCCTAATGTAGTTCTCAATTAAAGGTGTAATAATGAATCCATTCTGATGTGTCTGTTAAACATGCAAGTCAGCCTTGACATCACTTCAGACATCAAAGCTAGAATGCAAAATGTGTCCTGTGATTTCAAGCTCAAGTGCAGGTCTGGGTAGAAGTAGTTCACAGTGGTCCTCAGATGTTGGCTCTTTCACAGATTTCTGCTGGGAAATGACTTCTCTTAAAGCCATTTCCCAATACACAAACTGAAGGACAAGAAAGGGGTACATGGGAAGCCAAGTTGGGTTGGATATCAGGCCACCCCCACACGAATATGATGTATTTTATAGAATCTGGCATTCATTTGACTGGTATGGAACTCCTCTGGTAAAGATCACTGCTCAGGTCACCAGGACAGAATTCTCTCTGATGCTGGCAGCGCTGCTGGCAAGGCTAAGAATGAACAAACTGAAATGGGCATCGTTAGCACATTGCTGCCTGTGTTGCCTGTTGTATAGATCAACTTGGACTGTCCATATGCCTACCAACACAGCACCTGTCCCTGGTCTTACCTGGGGTACTTCCATGCAGTTAATGACCTCAGACAATGTTCTTGACTCCATTTATGCTCGGTGTTGTTTTGTTTTTGAGAACAGATGGCACATCTGAATACAGCACTTCTGTACTTGCACATCCTGACAGACAGCAGGGAGAGAAAAAGGGCTCACTGTCCTCTAACAAGTTCCTCTTGACTGTCAGCATGCTGCAGAAGAGTGGCAAGCCGTCCTTTGTCCGCTCCACTACAAAACATCCTGCAGCAACCGGGAAAGCATTGGAATGTCTGCTGCAACAGCAACAAAAAAGACAAATATACACAACCCCTCTGCAACAGAAAAAGGATCTGGCAGCCCAGTTCCAGCGTGCGAGATCTCACAGTGATTCTCTGACTATGAAAAGGATTTCTGTACCCTTTGAAAGGAAAATGTTGCAACTCAAGCTGAAAAATTCTTTGCATGGGCCCACTGTGAATTCCTCCATTCCTGCTCCCTGCATTGTACGTCTCAAGACTTGCAGTGCTTCGCTACAAGGAAAGAAAGTTCATGGTGCTCACGGTAAAGGCACTTCTCTCCCTGAAGACAGAGTTCAGCACAGTGGTACAGACAGTACAGATTCTGAACAGATCAAATCAACACGTGTGATGATCCCACAAATGAAAAACGAAGCAGTTTGCAGAGGAAAAAAACCCTTTTGTCCATATGCTGCAGATCCTTCCCAGGCTGACAGTGGGTTCAGACTTCTGACAGAACAGCAAAAGGAGGCACGTGCTGCAACTGCTGTAGCTCAGTGTCAGGCAAAGCTCGTAGAAGATCATCACAGAGCACGCAAGAAGGCCTGGTTAAGGAAAACTAAAGGCCTACCTACAGTCTCTTTTACTAAGGAGGGGAAGATATTTGCTCCTGAACTTGGACATAATACATTTATCTGAGGTAACCCATTAGTCCAACAAATCACCAGCATCTGATGTCTCTAATGTCACGGCTTCCTTGGGTATCCAGCTGAGCCTTTTTGTGGTTTCTGTGTTAGTATGAAAGGTGTCTCTGCTGTTCCAATGAGATATTATTGGTGCTTTCAGCACTTTCTCAAGGCAGTGAATGGAGTGACTCCTCTCCTGGGTTCTAAGTTGCTAGATCTGTCGTTATTATAGACGCAGCACATTCAAGACTAATAGAACAAAGATATGGCTCAACTGTTTGAATAAAAATTCTTCTTGTTAGAGTTTGTATAGACTGATTAGAGTTTATAAGCTAAAGAAGTATGGGCTGGATAAATAGACAGCAAGGTGTACAGGAATCTGGCTGAACAGGCAGAAGTGGAGGGTAACCAAGTAAGGTCTGCACCTGGGTTGTGGCAAGCTCCACTACCAATACAGGCTGGAGGATGTGAGGATGGAGCAGAGCCCTGCAGAACAAGTCCTGGGGGTATTGGTGGATGGCAAGCTGGGCATGAACCAGCAATGATGCCCTCACAGCCCAGAAAGCCAACTATATCCTGGGATGCATTCAAAGCAGCATGGCTAGCAGGGCAAGGGAGGGGATCTGCCCCTCTGCTTTGTGCTGTGAAACCTTAGCTGGAGTACTGTGTCCAGACGTGGAATCCTCAGTACAGGAGAGACACGCAACTGTTAGAGAACATCCAGAGGGCTGTGAAAATGGTCCCAGCAATGGAGCACGTCCCTTATGGGAGTCCTGCTGCCTGCCAGCCAGGGGAACCTGGCCAGGCTGGAGGAACCTCATGGAGATCAGCATGGAGAAGTGCTGCTGGGCTGTGGTCCTGGGCCCCTGCTGGAGCAGGGCTGGGAGCAGCCGGTCCCAGAGATCCTTCCAGCCTCAGCTGTGCTGTGGTGGAGCTGCCATCAGTGCTGCACAGGAACAGCGATGGTGGTGCAGGGGAAACATTGGGATCTTATTCTCAGACCTTTCTTTCTGTACTTTCTGGTAGTACAGAACAGAACAGCAGAACAGTTCCATCAGCCGGTAGAAGGGTGCATGAGAAATCCAAAGCTTGTAGCACTGCCTCAGAAAAAATAACTGCTGCATTTAACCAAACTGAACGGGTGGCTTTGCATTCCTTTATTTCTGGGGGTAAAACAAGCGTTCGTGTTTTCCGCTAGTCCAGCTCCTGATAAGACAGAGCAGTGTCCGTTGTCTGACCCTGGACATTGGGGCCAGCATGCTGGAAACATTATTTTCTCGCATGAGAGGTTTGAGGCCGGGCTGTGGCAGGAGGGCTGCAGCTGGACGCCATGCCCAGCCCTCACAACACAGCATCGCAGCCACAGCTGGGCGCTCAACAGACCCCGCCCCACTCCCACGGCCTCCCTCTGGCGTCAGGGCCGTGCCCCAGTGCGCAGGCGCGGCGCTGCGACTCTCGCGAGATTGGCCGCGGTGGTGACGTGGCGTGGCCGGAAGTGGTGGTGAAGCCGGAAGTGGTGGTGAGGCCATGCTACGGCAGGTGAGGGCTGGGGGCTGCGCTGAGCTCGGTGTGGCCGTGGGGCTGCGTGGGGCTCGCTGAGGCTCGGGTGTTGCGCTCTGTGGGTGCTTGGTGGCTGCTTGGTGGCTGCTGCGAGCACTGTGTACAGGGAGGAGCGCAGAGGCTGAGCTGGCTCCTGGCTGAGGGGAGCACGATCGAGGCGAGGAGGCCTCGCCGCTCCTCCTGCCTCTGTTCAGCACGGGAGGCGCTGCCTGAATTAGCAGTCGTAGGAAAATCCGGTTCCTGTGTCTTTTCCTTATAGCGTTTGCTTCGTGTTTAAATCTCTAGGCGCCATCCCAACACTTCAGTGTAATCAGAAGTGACCCGGGTTGAAGTCGAAAAGCGATTCTCTTTCTCTTGTAACTTTGAGCTTGTTCCTCTCGTTAGGGCAGCAGTGATGACATTGAGGATGTCTCTCTCTTTGATGCCGATGATGAAGTATCCAGGAGATCAAAAAAGTCAAAAATAAGGTCAGTGACCTGGAGAGAGTTTATAGATGAGTTCTGGAGGAGGAGGGACTGTCCCATCCTGTTGTTTCTGTTTCTGGACACCGACAAAACGACCCTGGCCCCATTTTCTTGGCTGCTGTATTGTGTTGAAATACATAACAGCTAATATCTTTGTTTTGTTAGAAAGAATTGTAACTTTAGTAACTTCTGCTTAGCTGAGAGAGGTAGTTCCAGAAGCTCAGCTGGAATCCATGTATCTGTGCCTTTGTGCTTCTGAGTGTCCCCACGTTAAATGTGTGTACACGTTACTGTCTCTGAGCTCTCTGTAGCAGGTGGCTCTCACTGTGCCAAGTGCTGCTGTCTGGGCTGGCCTGTTATCTCTTTGCCATTCTCTGTTTCCTAGTGTGAGTGGCACTGCCCTGCTGCCTGCCACGTCCTGCTATGGTCACACCAGTGTTGGGCAGAAGCACCAGCACTTCTGCATAAGGTTTGCTAATCCTGAAAGAAAGTATGTGAAGATGAGCTCACATTCATTGATTTGTTGGGGAGGTACTCATGTTACTGGCAGCAGCAGGCTGATCAGTGTCTGCCAGGCCCTCAGTACCAGCAGTGACCGACCAGTATCGTGTCTGCCCTGAGATTTCCCAGGGACATACATGTAGCAGCAAGCTGGCAAGATGGCTGCTGTGAGCCCTTGATGCTGTGCCCATATATGTAACAGCCACAGACCATAAAGCATCAAATATCAGGATTAGCAATCATTCATAGAAAGCAAGGAGAATAATGTACAGCTACAGAGCATTTTCTCACTAATACGCTTTTTCTAGCTATAAGCAGAAGCTGGAGGTGGTATACTTGCATTCCCAACCTAACGTGAGCCCTTTCCTACACAGCAGTCATTTGTTCAGGCCATGATCTCTGTTTTCCCACACAGCTGGTAGTCTGAAATCCTGGTGTGGTGATGTTGGCTCTACTGTACATTTCTGAACAGGGCACTACACAAGTCAGAAAGGAGGCATGTCTGTTGTGTGATGGAGCTCAGTTTGCTGTTTCTTGTCAGAACCCTTTTCAAATTTACCTCAAAAAAATTGTCTTATGTTGAACATGAGGTTAAATAAATACTTGGCTCCTTCATCCCTAGATTCACATTGTGTTGGTTATGTCTGTGAGTGGAACCTTTCCTCCTTAGGATAATCTCCCAGTTAACTTTTTTTTAACCCATATTTTCAGCAATAATAACATACTGGTTTCATATAATAATGCTGATCCTTATCCTTGGTGGGAGAGGATCACTTTGCAGTGTTGATTCTCTGAAATTGCTTCAGTCCTGTCTGAAAGAACTGTGACCATGCTGTCCTTCATTCCAGGCATCCAGTGGCATCGTTTTTCCACCTGTTCTTCCGAGTCAGTGCGATAGTTGTCTATCTGCTCTGTGAGCTCTTAACTAGCAGCTTTATTGCCTGCATGGTGACAATCATCCTTCTCTTGTCGTGTGACTTTTGGGCCGTAAAGGTAAGTTCCTCTCATGCTTTTTGTTATCATGTCTAACCTATAGGAATAATTGAGTAAAGTGGTATTTGTTCCACAAAAAAAGAACCTTCTTTGTGCCTTTCCAACAAAACTACACCTGAGATGCACTCAAGTACTGCAGGAAGCAGCACTGTGTAGCTGATTAGCTGCTTTCTTTTTGAAAATCAAATGGAGATCTGTAGCAGACTTATTCTTTTTAAGGCAGCACAGGCTTCATTTTTAGAAAGGTCACTTCTGAGTCACCAGTATGCGTCATTTATGTTAGTACAGCAATTTGTTGTTGTGCTGAGTGTATCAGAAAATGGGTTTGGATATGAGAGCCTCGTGGTCTTGTTTGCCCACATGAAGCAAATGAGCAACATTGCAAATAGCAACCCAAACAGCCAAGCTCTGGCAGAGTCAAGAGCAGTGGAATATGAGGTCTTTGCAGGGTGTGATGCCTCTCTTTCTAAAATACAGCTAGCATTGTAACTTGTGCAGCCACTGAGAGCAGATTGCTGTGAAACCAGCAGCTGCCAATATGAGAAAGGGAATTTGCTGCCTGGAGAACTGAAAGCTTCTGAAAGAGCTAACAGCAATAAAATCTGGGGCTGAAAAACTATAATTTCTTGTGGGTGCAGCGTTGAGGTGGAGTATTCCCAAGGATCTGTTTGGCTAATGGTTTCTCCTGGTGGCGAATTGAAGCCTCTCTGCTTTCTGTCCGTTTCAGAACGTCACAGGGCGGCTGATGGTTGGCCTCCGCTGGTGGAATCAGGTGGATGATGATGGTAGAAGTCACTGGAAATTTGAATCTAGAAAGGTCAGTCTTCCTTTAGATGTTTCAGGTTTACCAACCCCCTGTTAATTACCAGTTATGTTTGTGGTGGTGAATTGCAGAGTTTAGAGCTTCCAGCCGCAGGTCTGTAACCGCTCGCTTGTTTCATGGTGGTACTGAAGGATAACATCATCTTTTATATTTTTTGCTTTATTTAAAAGCCTGATCAAGACTTGAGAAAAATGTTTGTGTACCTTCATTTTCACATAAAATGTTGTAAAGGTTCCCAGGTCTTATCAAGAACACTGAAATGTTCTGGTGTGAGCACAGAACAGCTGACGTATCTTTTACCTCCCATAGAAGATCATTGGAACTAGGCAAAACAATCCAGCATTGCTCATAGCATTACTGCTCCCCTGTGTTCATTCTGCCTGCTGCTGTGTGTCTGATCTGCCTTCTGGTGGCACCTCGTGTCCTGTCAGTTACCCTTTTGATCGCTGCCCGTTGTCTCTGTGTGCACAGGGCTAAGAGCACTTCTGGTGCACAGGTGTGGAGTGAGGTAAAAGTCATTGCCTGTGCTCACGTTGGAAATCTACAGTGGTGCAGAGTCTGGAACCCAAAACTTTGTCCAGATGAATTTGTGCCCCTGCAGATGAATTCTTTCTCAGAACTGTGCTTGTTGGAAAAGCTATAATCTGCTAGGGAAAGGATAAAAAATATCTAAACTGCTGGTAACACATTAAATTGAGCCATGAGCTCCCTCTGTTCAGATCTTTTAACTATTTGTAGGAAGAACGAATGATTGCTTGAGATCTTCTCAATAAAGAAGATCAGTAGTGCAGTGTGAGTCATATCTGTGTAGAAATTGCCTGACTTGATGGCCGTAAGCATCAGTATTTAGTACTGGCAGCACTCAGTGACACTGATTGTCTGTGCAGTGGTGTTAAGGTAGAAGGTGTTACCCGTTCTGTGTGTGGAAACTGAACCATGCAGCACATGTAACATTTCTCAAAGTTACTGAGGCTTTTTTGCCCCAAATATTCCAAGACAGACAATTTGTTGTTACTTCCCCCCATATGGAAACATCTTTTGTCACAAGGTATGGAA